ACCTTCATGGCAGGATCTCCAGATATTTTAACAGCTGCAGATTTAAAGAGTATTGTAAGAGACTTTTGAAGTTGCATTACATGAGAGCGAGAAAGAGATAACAGCATAGAGTATATATTAAGTGCCTGTGGAATACATCAGAGCAATGTACCCCATGCTGCTCTATAAGGATGACTGCGGAACTTACATGCCTTTTGCATGGAACTCCTAGAAGAAATGGGAACTGGTGACAACATTTTTTTTTTTTCTGCCATCCTTCCAGCCAAAAGACTTTGGCATGGTTGGCTCCTCTTGCTGTCCCCCCCCCCACCCAGAGATCATAGTAGACCCCCTAAAACTTACTGATCATCCTGCCTTCTCCACCGCATGTCTGACCCAGATTCTGCTTCCAGCCCCTTCACAGCTTCCTGTTCTCCTCCCCTCATTCCCAGAAAGCCAGGAAAAGGAAAAAAAAAAATCCTCTTACTTTTCCCTGAAATCTGAAACCTTTAATGTACACGTTGCTGTAAAGAGCCCAGATTTGGTTTTCGGATCCTTCCCCAGTGCAGGGATTAGGGATGGGGGGGAGACGGAGCCTGATCACTACCAGATGTTGGTCACTGCAGACCACAGGGCGGCCTTAACCCTTCCTGCGCTTTGTAGGATGACCGCTAACATGGCGGTACTCGGCGTATCCACAAGAAGTGTACTTCTAAAGAAAAAATTATTATTTTGTTAGATCTGGATGGAGTGGCGAGGGGTCAGAACCCCTGGCAGGTTTTTATTGCTAAAATAAATAAAATAGTGCAGCGCAAAATTGATTCAAATAAAACCATAAACGGAATAAATGAGCAATATATATATATATGAGCACACTTACAAATCTGACTAACTGTGTAATTGAATATGCTCAAAAGCCATATAAATAAAGATACATATAATAAGTGTCAATACTAAACAATGTACAATTAAATGGGACAAAATAATCCGTATTAGTCACTTAAGTAGTGCCCTTCTAGTCCCAACAGCTTCACTCGGTGCTTGTGATAACGGAAGAAATGCGCACTCACTGGACGCGCAATAATAATGCGCGTTTATATATAATATCTTGATGTCATCAAGGTAGTCATCTGGGCTAGTAGGTAGAAAAGGCTCCCTCTCAAGGTGGATGGGTCCTGGGACTTTATATGTTGATGATCCAGGGGTGTCCAGAGTTCCCCTTAAGGGATAGTGGGTGCAGCTCACAGGGGTTAACAGGAGGCTCCCTCTCTGGAGGCAATGGACTGGTGCTGGGTGTCTAAAAGATTAATGCTCCCCAAAAGGGGGTCAAACCGGAAGAATGCCCATAGTGTAGTAGATAAAGTAAACATTTATTAATGAATAAAACAGGATGCATCCATAGGCAAGTGTTAAAAAACTATTTGGACTGACCGTCCCTGAATAAAGATGGCCGCCGGAGCTCCACGATGCTCCGACGGCATGACGTCACGGTGTGAGTAGGCTCATCCTTACGCGTTACATGCGCATGCACATCATCAGAGGAAGAAACCAGGTTTTTATTGCTTTCTGTGTCCCCATCTGGAATATTCACTCACTTTCAGGTCCCATCCACATTTGAGCGTGGCCTTACTTTGCGTTCCCACATGTTGTGTTTTTTGTGTGTGTGTTTTGGAGCATTTCCACTCGTCCTGCAGAGAGCAGCTCATTCACTTACATAGGTTGCCCTACGTGCAACAAACACCCCATAGAAGCTGTTTTTGTGAAGCATAGGGTGCTCATTTATCTATCTATCTATCCATTCAGTCATATCCGACCCTTGGAGATTGCATGGACCGTCACTCAAAAGCGACTTTTTCCATGAATTCTCTTAGCAATTATTTTACAGGGTAGGTTGCCAGGTCTTTCCCCAACCCCTACCATGCAGGAGATCCCTCATGGCCTGGGCTGAAACTAAGACAATTTAGACAGGAGCCAATTAACCTACCAGTATGTCTTTGGAGAGTGGGAGGAAACTGGAGTAGCTGGAGGAAACCCAGGGAGAACATGCAAACTCAATGCAGGAGGCGCCATGGTTGGGAATTGAACCCATGACCCAATTACTGCAAGGCAGAGGTGCTAACCACTAAGCCACTGTGCCGCCCTATGGATCATTCATAGTGTGCGGTAAAACACGTAGCAAAATGCTACAGGTGCTTGGGGTGCCATTAACAATCAATGGCACAGCACGCGTTTGCAGGGTGTTTCTGAGACGTGCAGCAAAACGTGCATTTTCTGTGGCGTTGCTGCATTTATTTATTATTTATTACAGGTACTTGTATATCGCCGTCAATTTATGCAGCACTTTACACATATATTGTACATTCACATCAGTCCCTAAGGGCTCGTTCACACTTGACTAATTTCTAACACTTGCCAAACGCCCCTATAGCATTTGACAGGCATTTGATAGGCGTTTGGGAAGCTCAAACGCTCCCCAAACACCCAATGTGTGGTTTTGAAGTGTTTGATAGGCATTTGCCACGCGTTAAAACTGCACCACAAATGCCTATAATGAATTTTAAAGGTAATAATGCCTTGCAAACGCCCTGCAAATGCCTGCCAGGCATTTGAGGAGCTTCACCATAGTCTTGAATGGGAGACTTCAACTGCTCCTGACTGGAAATATGATGAGGTGTCAATTTTGCCACAACGCTAACACTTCAGTGTGAACAGCACTGTGTGTTGCCATGTGTAGAATTTTCATAGGCATTTGAGAAGCGTTAAAAACGCTTCCCAAACGCCTGCTGACAAAGCTATTGGGAACATAGCCTAACCTCAAGGGGCGTACAATCTAAGGTCCCTAACTCACATTCATACATACACAAACTAGGGCAGAGCTTGAAATTTCCACTTGCCTGCTCACCAATGGCAAGTGGAAATTATGGTGGGGGCGAGTGTGTCCCCCAGGGCCGTCTTGCTGAGCAGGTTTGGAGCTCAGGCCGGATCTGTCATTGGCACTGGGAGCCGTCAGACTGCTCAATAGCTGAGCGCAGTGAAAGCAAAGGAAGGAGTGTGTGCTGTGCTCTCTGCCTCCCCCTAGAGTGCAGTACCTGGCTCTGTGAGTGAACAACGAAGTACTGCAACTTTTTATGGGTGTGTGTGTGTGTGTATATGTTTGTGTGTGTCTGTGTATGCATGTACAATTGTACATGTGTCTGTGTGTATGTACATGTATGTGTGTGTGTACATGTGCCGGTGCGTGTGTATGTACATGTGTCTCTGTGCGTGTGTGTACATGTGTCTCTGTGCGTGTTTGTACATGTTTCTGTGTGTATGTACATGTCTGTGTGTGTGTGTACAGGTGTCTCTGTTTGTGTGTGTTTGTTGGTGGCAAGTAACTCTAAGGCCTGGCTAGTAGCTCAGGGCTTGAAATTTTAGGCCCTGTACTAATGCCAATTTAGACAGGAGCCAATTCACCTACAAGCGTGTCTTTGGAGTGTGGGAGGAAACCGGAGTACCTGGAGGAAACCCACGCAGGCACAGGGAGAACATGCAAACTGCTGCATGTTCCAGAAACACGATCGCAGGGCCAGTTCACACTACATGCATTTCAGTTGCTATTTTTCTGCATCCAAAATGCACAGAAAGTAGGTTATATGGTTGTCAATGCCATAGTGCACATCAGTGCTTGCAGTTCCAGTGCGTTCCGGTTGCAGAAAATAAAGTAGAACAGGCTGCATTTTTCCTGCACATAACTGTACTGGAACACGATAAAATGCATCTAAAACGCACTGGAACGCACATGTCTATATTTAATTGGGGAAAAAATGAACTGGAATGCATCAAAAACACACCTGGGCACATGAAAAACGCGTCAAAAATGCACATGCGGAAACGCATCCGGCACGCATCTGGACTGCATTTCTATGGTGTGAACCGGCCCTTAGGCCCCATTCACACTTAAGCAATTCCAAGTGTCACGAAGATCGTGGCAAAAATGCACGATGTACAGTACATTTGGATGCCATTTATCCTTAATGGCTCCCCAAACGCGGTGCGATTTTTGCACAATTGTCACATGACAAAACGCACATTGAAAAAAAAAAAACAGCACCTGGCTCAGGACCAAAATTGGGTCCTTGAGCTTTTCTGCTATGACAGACAAGCACAGGGCAACCCATTCAAGTGAACACATGGAGTCACGGGGTACACGGAATCATATGAAAATCTCGCACAGAAAATCGCAAACGTTCGTCTTCAGCCGCACTGAAAAGTAAGAGAAACAATAACAGGAGCAAGATGGAAAATTTTTCTTGAATGTACACATTTCTAACAGTGAATGCGGTTTTCATTTGGTAAAGTCCATTTGTTCTAAAATCAGTTGTTAAAAGCAAACAAAATCTTTGAACTACTTTTAAAGTGTTACTAAACCCCCAACAGTACAATCAGTCTGTATATGCAGTAAAGCATGCTTGTTATACTCACTGTGGAACCTAAGGGGTTAATCCTCCGCATAGTCTAAACAGGCTGTTTGATCTTGTCTTCTCTGATCCAACCCTTCTCCTACTGTCCCCAATCCATCTGCTGATAGAAGAAAGCTGCACATGCTCATTTTGGTGAGTATTGTTAGAGAGTTTTTTTTCTCTTGAGAGTGTGATCAGCACACGGCCAATTAGCATTGTCCAGACAGAGGGTCAGGGGTCCTGCAGCCTCATAGGACATTCAGGGGAGAATGAATGCTCCAGCTACAAGCTTTAAACAGTGCTCAGCTGGACACTGATAGAGAAGCCACAAGACTGTTCTAACTTCTGATGAAAAAAGGTATTTAGCAGTTTGTTTACTAAAATAATTGCATTTCCATGTCCCGTGTACTGTTAGTGAATGCAGGGTCTGGGGAGACCGAATATAGTGAATGCAGGGTCCGAATATATAGTGAATGCAGGGTCCGGGGAGACCGGATATAGTGAATGCAGGGTCTGGGGAGACCGGATATAGTGAATGCAGGGTGTGGGGAGACCGGATATAGTGATGCAGGGTGTGTGGGGAGACCGGATATAGTGAATGCAGGGTGCGGGGAGACCGGATATAGTGAATGCAGGGTGCGGGGACCGGATATAGTGAATGCAGGGTGCGGGGAGACCGGATATAGTGAATGCAGGGTGCGGGGAGACCGGATATAGTGAATGCAGGGTGCGGGGAGACCGGATATAGTGAATGCAGGGTCTGGGGAGATCGATATAGTGAATGCAGGGTCTGGGGAGATCGATATAGTGAATGCAGGGTCCGGGGAGACCAGATATAGTGAATGCAGGGTCCGGGGAGATATAGTGAATGCAGGGTTCGGGGAGACTGGATATAGTGAATGCAGGGTCCGGGGACCAGATATAGTGAATGCAGGGTCCTGGGAGACCGGATATAGTGAATGCAGGGTCCGGGGAGACTGGATATAGTGAATGCAGGGGGGAGACCGGGGTGACCGGATATAGTGAATGCAGGGTCATGGGTTTAGTAACACTTTAAAATGACTTTGGAATGTTCTAAGAATTTATGTTTGAAATCCTACTAATATATACCCATCTTAAAGCAGAACTGAAATTCAGTTGTAACAGGCAGGCTTTTATTGCACTGTTTCTTCTGCAGTAAAATGTCCCTGCTGGCTTGCTTGCTGTCTTCTCTGGCATTGTAAACTGAGCTGTGCATGCGTGGCTCAGCTAACAGAGCAGGGCCGTTCTCCCTGTGCTGAATGACAGCCTCCTGAGCATGTGTGATGTAATCCTGTGCCAGCCAATAAAGACGGTCAAAGACCGGTACACCGAGGAAGATGCTGGCGAGGGACCGTTGGTAAGGTGAATATTAACCCCCTTTAGTTCCACATTAAGAGCTTATGCTATTGCTGATATGAATATTTAAATGAAAGGTGTGCCTGCAAATACTTGCACTCACCGGCCACTTTATTAGGTACACCTTGCTAATGCCAAGAAAATATCCCCCACCACCAATACACCACCAGTCTGAACCGTTGATACAAGGCAGGATGGATCCATGCTTTCATGTTGTTTACACCAAATTCTGACCCTGTCATCTGAATGTCGCAGCAGCCAGCCTGCCCAATCTCCTCTAACATCAACAAGGCATTTTCATCCACACAACTGCCACTCACTGGATATTTTCTCTTTTTTTCAGAGCATTCTCTGCAAACCCTAGAGATCTGTCACCAACAACGATGCCACGTTCAAAGTCACTTAAATCCCCTTTCTTTCCCATTCTGATGCTCGGTTTGAACTTCAGCAAGTCGTCTTCACCACATCTAGATGCCTAAATGCATTGAGTTGCTGCCATGTGATTGGCTGATTAGCAATTTGTGTTACCAAGCAGTTGAACAGGTGTACCTAATAAAGTGGCCGGTTAGTGTCCTCCTTCTGCTGCCTGTACCACCGAATGCTGCTCCGGTCAAAAAGAATCTCTGATTGAATTCTATTCTAGAACCTTCAGGACCAGGGGTGAACTGACAACTCATGGGGCCCCCTGGCAATAGGAAATCATGGGGCCCCTGTGTCCTTGCCCACACTCAAACCACACCAAAAAAAGCCTATGAAAGGTACCAGGGGCATCTCATGGGGCCCCCTACTGACCCCGGGCCCTCAGGCAGTGCCCGAGTGTCTAAATGGTCAGTCCACCCCTGTTCAGGACTTCAGGTAAATGTCAGTCTTCTGTGTCCCTCGCAGCGCTAAATGGTTCCTCACACCAACTCCAATGTCACTTAGGACACATATCCAAACAAAGTGATGCAGGGGTCATCACTCAGTGGTTCCTCCTGGCCATATCCACGCAGGGGCGGACTGACCATTCGAGAACTCGGGCACTGCCCGAGGGCCCGGGGTCAGTAGAGGGCCCCAGGAAATGCCCCTGGTACCTTTTTTATAGGCTTTTTTTGAGTGTGGGCAAGGACACAGGGGCCCCATGATCCCCTATTGCCCGGGGGCCCCATGATCCCCTATTGCCCGGGGGCCCCATGAGTTGTCAGTCCGCCCCTGTATCCACGTCACTTAGGACAAAAAAACTGCAGGACTGCGGCAGGTATTTTGACACTGGGGGAAACTGACTAATAAATAAAAAACTGACACTAATACAGTGATCAGTGCTAATAAAAAGTACTGACACTGTACTAATGGCACTGGGCAGGATGGGGTTAACATCTGAGGCGATCAAAGAGTTAACTCTGTGCTGTGTGTATTTTACCAGAGAGACATGCTGCTTTGTATGCTGTGCAGAGAAATACAAAGCAGCATGTCCTTGCTCACAGGAGAGAGACCTGTATTGTTTACACACAGGTCACTCCCGCCAGCTTTCCCCGGCGATCGCCAAGTGCCGGCCGGGAATCGCCAGCCGGGACCCGGTGACTGACATCTCTAGCTGCCAATAGTGGCACGGGTAGGGCGGCATGCGCACCCCTTACCTGGAAATGCAAATCACGTATGTATACGTGATTTTGCGCAGCCCTGCTGCCCTGTAGCAGTACTTCTACTATAGGGCGGCAGGCAAGCTGTTAAAGTGGTTGTATATCGGGCGGAGTGACCATTTGGAAACTCGGGCACTGCCCGAGGGCCCGGGGTCAGTAGGGGGCCCCATGAGATGCCCCTGGTACCTTTTTCATAGGCTTTTTTGAGTTTGGGCAAGGACACAGGGGCTCCATGATCCCCTATTGCCCGGGGGCCCCATGAGTTGTCAGTCCGCCCCTGTTGTATACATATACTCAGTGAAGTGACTGGCCACAGGTGATACACAAAGATGAAACAAATCCCCCTACATAAGTTGTACCTGTTTATTAGCAACACTCTTTCCTCTGCATTTGTTCAAAGTGCAGAATTTTTACACTCTGCAGAGCTCCGTGAGGAGAGTTCTATGAGCTGATTGGTGGAAGGAGACACACCGCCCTCCACACAGCACACAGGAACAGAGCTGAGGCTGTCAATCTGCTGGAGGTCCCTCCTCTGTCACCATTATTCTCTTGGTGTCAGGAAAACTTGTCAGAGGTGACTAATGCAGCTACCAGAGAAAGAAGACAGCAGACAGAAATGACACACTATAGAGGGATATGCTTTCATATTTCATTTCTGAGGTTTACAGTCACTTTACAATAATGTAGTACTGGGAGCCTGAGCAGCCAATCACCAGGCCTACATGTGGTCACATGGAGTCCAGGGGGGGTTGCTGAGTCCTGTGCAGTTAAAGTTGTGACTTGCAGCGGGGTGCTCTGGCAGTTGATCAGAGAGCAACTAAAAAAAGCAGCAAGTCCTATAAAAAACGTATTTTGCTCCATACTGGTAATGTCCAGGAATTCTTTCATGTCACCATTTACTTTACTTTCAAGACCATTGTAAAACTTGGCCCCCTACACATGAGATCTATGATGAGAGCTACCTCCCACAGTGCAGCTATTTCCTGGCACCCTAGGGACCAGAGGTCACATCCACTCTTTTTTTTGTGATCAAATAGCACCATATGTACCATGTAAATGGAAAGTTTTACAAGGCCAAGCTGTCCAACAAGAGTGATAGTGATAGGGGGTGATAGTATAACACTGCCAGGTCTGCTTACCAAAAAATAACTGTTGCTGCTACTGCGAAAAAACCCCGGGCAGTTTTAGAGTCTATCCCCAGCAGGGACGGACTGACCATTTGGAAACTCGGGCACTACCCGAGGGCCAGGGGTCTGTAGGGGGCCCCATGAGATGCCCCTGGTACCTTTTTTCATAGGCTTTTTTGAGTTTGGGCAAGGACACAGGGGCCCCATGATCCCCTATTGCCCGGGGCCCCATGAGTTGTCAGTCTGCCCCTGATCCCAAGCCATGTCACCTTTGCTGGGCAGCTTGAGTTACATATGTAAATGTTGGGAAAATATACATAACATGTGAAGCAGAAGAGGAATCCATATACTGATCACTGTCTTTACAGGTATTAACTATATACAGTTATCAGAATATTTTTTCAGGATTAGCTCACCGCACTCTTTGCAATCTGATTGTACAATTTCTTTTAGATTCACCAACAACTATGCATCTATGGGCCTGCCAGCCGGGATAAAAATTTGATTAGGTAGATTAGGAAGGTCCTCATATTACATACTATAGTTTGGGTAAATCTAAAGTTGACTGTACGGTCAGATTAGTGACCCATAGAGGTAATTTAAAGTGTTACTAAACCTACGACAGTAAAATTAGTCTGTATATGCAATAAAGAATGCTTGGTATACTCACTGTGGAACCTAACCGGTTAATCCCCACATTGTGCAAAAAGGTTGTTTGATCCTGTCTTCTCTGATCCTCCCCTTCATCCACAGTCCTCAATCCATCTGCTGATAATACAGAGCCCTAGGAGTCACTCTGCACATGCTTAGTTTAGTGTGTATTGCTAGTGAGCTTTTTTTTTTGATGGGGGGAGGGTGCATGTGATCAGCAGACAGAGGGTCAGGGGTTATGCAGCCTCATAGGACAGTCAGAGCAGAATGAAAACTCCTCGTACAAGCTTTAACTAGTGCTCGGCTGGATACTGATGGAAGTCACGACTGCTATATGCTTCTGATGAGAAAAGGAATTTAGCAGTTTATATTTACTAAAATAATTGCATTTCCATGTTCTGTGTACTGTGGGAGACCAGATATAGTGAATGCAGGGTCCGGGGAGACCAGATATAGTGAATGCAGGATCCTGGGAGACCAGATATAGTGAATGCAGGGTCCGGGGAGACCAGATATAGTGAATGCAGGGTCCGGGGAGACCAGATATAGTGAATGCAGGGTCCGGGGAGACCAGATATAGTGAATGCAGGGTCCGGGAGACCAGATATAGTGAATGCAGAGTCCTAAATGAAGACCAGATATAGTGAATGCAGAGTCCTAAGGAGACCAGAGTCCTGGGAGACCAGATATAGTGAATGCAGGGTCTAGGGAGACCAGATATAGTGAATGCAGGGTCTAGGGAGACCAGATATAGTGAATGCAGGGTCCTGGGAGACCAGATATAGTGAATGTGGGGTCCGGGAGACCAGATATAGTGAATGCGGGGTCCGGGGAGACCAGATATAGTGAATGCGGGGTCCTGGGAGACCAGATATTGTGAATGCGGGGTCTTGGGTTTAGTAACACTTTAAGTAATTGCCACAACCAGCCTAATGCTGGCCATACAGAAAAGAGCTAAAGCTAAACACCAAGCAAATAGTAACATTCACCAATGAAATACATATAGGGGAGCTATTTTATCTGCCAAAGATTTTGTACATCTGTTCATCCAGTCCTGAGAATTACACAGCTCTTCCACACCACACAGCACCTGGCTGACAGGGCAGAAGATAGGATTTTTCTTTGCTGCTTGTGCTGCTTCTCCCTCCCCCAATCTGAGCTCTGCTACACAGTGGACTGTAAGAGGCTGATAATGGGTCCAATACAAAGCTGAATATGTGTTTTTATATATCTGCTAGTTTTAAAAATCAAAGTATGTAGAAAAGATAATAGAGTGAGTGCTAAATGCAGTATATGATATTAAAATTATATATATTCAAATGAATTAAAAGCAGCTGTAGGTAACAGTCCCAGAATCACAATTATTTTCACAATCACTAATGTTTTAGAAATAGCTTTAAAAATCGTTCATTCATAGTCTTTTACTAGAAAGCAGTTGTAGAACACACCAAAAAAAAAAGATTGATTTTGGTTAAAGTCAACTGAATTTTTCACCAGGGCCAATCAATTCTCCTGAATAACAATTATAATTATTGATCAAACTGGCCATTAAGTACAATCATTTCTAAAAAGCTTAGCATTCATCAAAATAGTTGGTTTATTGAACAATTCTATCACTGTGCATTATTGGTTGTAGAAATGGGAGCACCTGATATAAACAGTCATATGGCTTGGTGGCTCACTTTTCAAAAAATTATTATTTGGTTAAGAACACCATATATAACCAACACATTTCAGAGGATAAAGCCTGCCCCCTCCATAGGGCTTACATGTTAAAAAAAAAAAAAAAAAAAAAAGCCAAAATATAAAATCTGGTAGCTCATATCAATTAAATAGTAATAAATAAAATATCTCATCTGATAAAAGATGAACATTTCAAATGTAAACTAAAGCTCAGATAGTAGTAAATATTATAAATAACCCACAATAAGTGTCTGATAGAAAATGTGAAGCCTGTAAATCCATCCATATAATCACAATATATAAATAGAATAAATACAATTGTGTGAGATGATACTTTTGATAATGAAGATAAAATTAACATAAGAAAAAAAATTATCTTAAACACGAGGATCGTACCTCTGTATGGACAGAATATACTAGAAAGACTTGCTTAAGGCGTATTTGTGCTGTAGGAAAGCATGAGACCTTCTGAATTAGCCCATATTTAAGAGGAATTGAACTCGGGAAGTTGTGGCAAAAAAAAGTCAGAGATGACAAAGGATTAGTCACCAGTATTGCCTGTGGGTTCCCTGAAGCTGATCCTTTCCCATCATGACTGATGTACTGTTCCTGAATGGAGGTGGCCATCTGGTAGAGGCAGGTCTTTGTTTCCTGTATCATAGTTGCATTCCTGATGAGCGGTAGGTGAGGATGAGGAAATCTGCCCAGGTTCAATGTACAATCAACATTTAGAAAAGCTTTTTTTAGGTGGTTTTGGCTTTAGGAAAATTTTAGAAAAATAAAGCTAAAGCCCTCAGCTCCATACAAATTGACCAGTTTCATAGTATAAATATGATATTTTGTGAGCTTCTTTAATTACATACCACAAACCATTGTCCTAAAGGTTAAATACAATGTCAAAACAGAGTGCACACAAACACAAAACCCCACTTTCTCTGAACCCTTAGATTGTAAGCTCCAAGGAGCACAGCCCTCCTGAGTCCTAACCCTCTTGTATTGAACTGTGTTGTTGCTGTATTGTCTCTCGTTGTATTGTAAAGCGCTGAGAAAACTGTTGGCGCTATATAAATCCTGTATAATAATAATAATAACCCCATCCCATCTACTTATCCCCAAATTAGTCCCAATAATTCAAAATATAGACTTCAGGTATGTATTTGATGGAAACTGGCTAACATCAAGACAGTAAATGAGGACTTAAATAGGTAGCAAATAGAAAGAGACAAGTCAGATTTTATCTTGCAATAAAATATAGAGTGTATTATTTGAGAGATAACAGCCACACAAATTGTCAGTGGCTGGGCAGGATGAAAGCAGCTTGGTAAAGGGGAGAGACACAGCAGTTTTTTTTTTCTTGAATTAAACATGGTAGTGTATTATACTGTATATGAGTGTCTTCTATATAAGAGACAATAGCTACAAATAATTGTGAGTGTGGAGCAGGGGCGTCCCTAGGGTTGGTGTCACCTGGTGCGATAACACTTGGTGACGCCCCCTCCGATGATCCCCACAGAATGGAACGGATCTGTGAACTGAGCATAATGGAGTCCGATTCATTATGCTCCCCAATCCACAGATTTGATCCATCCTGCGGGGATCGTCGGCATGCAACCTATATGGGGTGACACCTGACCTGCTCCACAAAAAGGTAAGTTGTAAAGCAAGCCGACGATCCCCGCAGGATGGATCGGATCTGCAGATTGGGGAGCATAATGGATCGGACTCTGATCCATTATGCTCAATCTGCAGATCCGATCCATCCTGCGGGGATCGTCGGCTTGCTTTACAACTTACCTTTTAGTGGAGCTGGTCCGGTGTCACCCCGTGCGGTAGGTGTCACCCGGTGCGGCGCGCACCCCCCGCACCTGCCTAGGTATGCCACTGGTGTGGAGCACTAGAATAGGTCGCAAACATTTAGGCACAACGCTGGATTTTCCCAGGAGCAATCATTAGAAATTTGGCAGCTGAAGTCCAGCTGTGGGAATATTGGATGGCACCTTTACAGTGCCGAACCACCAGTAAGGCCAGAAGAGGTGGCAGGAATCCTTTTTTTTTTTTTTTTTTTATCAGAATGACACTTTAAAATTTAGTCTGTGAAATCAGCATCAGGAGCTCTGTAGTCATTGGTAATCCAAGACAAGTTCAGTTTGATACAGGCGAGTTGGTCCACACTGTCAGGAGGCAGGCAGATTCAACTCTCTCTAACAAAACTTTCAGCCAAGCTGGGAGAGGAGATGCGGAAAGTGAGGAGTGTGGGCCTTTTGCTGCCAACTCATTGTGTTTACTCATGCATGTGATACCCAAATGGTGGGTACTTTACCATGGAAGATGCTCTGCAAGGAGATGCTGCAGACCACAATGGTGCTGTTAGCAACCGATACCTTGATAAAGGTCCACACTGCACAGCTCAGTCAATTGGCCCTGGGGGTAGCACGTGGCCTGTAGCTGTGGGGTGCTTCTAGATCTTTTTGGATAGCTGCTCCCTCCAGTCCTCTGCAAGCTGTCCCTGCCTTGGATAAAATATTCCCTTGCTGCTGTTCTGCCTCTTCCACAGGTCGTTTTTCCTAATTTTTCACATCCACAGATAGCCTGCCACCTCGTCATCCACCCTCTCCTCAACATATACCATATTGCCAAAAGTATACGGGCGCCTGCCTTTACATGCACATGAACTTCAATGGCATCCCAGTCTTAGTCCGTAGGGTTCAATATTGAGTTGGCCCCGCCCTTTGCAGCTATAACAGCTTCAACTCTTCTGGGAAGGTTGTCCACAAAGTTTAGGAGTGTGTCTATGGAAATGTTTGACCATTCTTCCTGAAGCGCATCTGTGAGGTCAGGCACCGATGTCAGATGAGAAGGCCTGGCTCCACTTTACACCACTGCATCCGACACTTTGCATTGACTTGGTGATAAAAGGCTTGGATGCAGCTGCTCAGCCATGGAAACCCATTCTATGAAGCTCTGTACACACTGTTGTGCTAATCTGAAAGCCACATGAAGTTTGGAGATCTTTAGCTATTGACTCTGCAGACCTTTCACAACTTCTGCGTACTGTGCACTTCAGCATGCTCTGACCTCGCATCTGTCACATGGCCTACCACTTCATGGCTGAATTGCTGTTGTTCCCAGACTTACTGCACAGGTGACAACCTATCACAGTACCACGCTTGAATTCACTGAGCTCCTGAGAGCGACCCATTCTTTCACAAATGTTTGTAGAAGCAGTCTGCATGCCTAGGTGCTTGATTTTATACACCTGTGGCCATGGAGGTGATTGGAACACCTGAATCCAATGATAATCTCAAGGCACCCCAATCTTTAAAATTCTGCACAATCTTAAGGCACCCCAATCTAAAATGTAAAAAACTATTCTACACACATATAGTACACCCAACATTAGAGGTGATTTATTCTTCCAAAGCAAATACACCTTTGCATACTGGTACCGACTAGTATTCCAGTGTGTCTCTCTCATTTTCTTTCCATCACTCTGCTAATGTGACCCCAGTGCTGATGGGGAGGGGCAAACAAGGTTGATGTGCATGCACCCGACATCCTCCTTATCAACTAATGATGTAATTTGTTGTTCGGATGCTGGCAGCTAGAAGGTCATAAAAGTGCACAATGAAAACTTGTGGCTTAGTGTACTAAAAGGCAGGATTGATCCACCTGCTGGCTTGTACACAAATTTTTGGGCATTTTGCCAAGGCACCCCTGAAGAAGCCTGAAGGCACCCCAGGGTGCCTGGGCACCCTGGTTGAGAAAGGCTGGTGTATATCACTCAGATCCTGGAACATCGCTGCCTGTTGCTGCTCGATGTTCCCTCCCTATATGGTCCTGATGCGGTCTTCCTCATCCTCAATATCTGAAATGAGGAATACTTGCTCTTGGCCAAGATCGTCCTC